TATTCCATTAAAAAAATGAATATTATGCAGAAATTGGCATTGATGTTATATCTCCTGAACATACTACACCAAAGCAATTTGATCGACACACTAAGAACAAAAATAATTAACTCCAGATTTAAAAGCTATACTTTTTCATGCTAACAGGAACAAGGGGTCAAGAAAAACTTTAAGTTGAATCCAGCCTAACCACTGATGAACTCCAAAATAAAAATTAGAGTCGTGCAAAGTCGTGGCAATAGTGAAATACATACATTCAGATGTTTATTGTGTACAAAGACAACAAAAGAGTAATGCAGTACAAAAAATGTAGAAACTAACCATTGCAATAGCATCCTCTACTTCCTCCTTGTTTCTGCCAGCCACACGCCCTTTCAAGGATTCAAGCAACTCTCTAAGCTTGTTCAAAAGAACATGTTTTTCTAATGATGCTGCTTCTCTAAGTCTAGCCTGTCATTTTTTCCAGCATATAACTAGATTAAATAATATGAGAAAGTAAATTTCTCTGCAAACTATAATAAGTTAATAACTAGTCAATTCAATTCAAAACATTGAAAATTAGGCATACATAATTGAAAAAACCCCAACAACTACGTTGAAATATATAAAAATTTGAAATTAAATAGAAAGTATGAAACCTCTTCAGATAACTTAGCAGCAGCAGCTAAACCCTTCTCAAATTTACTAGCAAGATCGCGAACTGAGAGACGTTTCTGCTGTTCCAATAGCAGTGCGGTCTCCCGTGCAACAGCTTCCTTCATAGATAACACTTTTGGGTCATCCTTTGTCTCTATGATCTGATTGTTAGCTCCAATTTTGTAACTAGGAAACCTATTAGAAGCGAATATCACATCTGCTGAAACCACAGGCACCGCCTCCTTTTGCATAGTGTCACCAAAATCACGGGACACCCTCGTCATTGTTCCGAGTTATTCACTCTATGTCCATCACAAAATACAACCTTTAGCTACTACAATTGAGCTGGTTACAGTTCAGAACTTAAGTTTGAAGAAAATATATCTAAAGAAGAAAAACATTCAGTTTAAGAAACACAGCCAAAATCAAAAACTTCTAAATTGAGATATCACACTACCCATTAAGCTTGTGGAAGTCAAGGCTAATGATTGGAAGAAAAACCAGCTAAACCCTATATGTCCGTGTTTCCTTTACTTATCAATTGTTTTAACTTCACTTTTCCTGTGGTTTTGAGCTGAAGTAATCAAGAAAAAGCTACCCCAGACCAAAAAAAATTCAAAAAAAGAAAAAATGGAAAGTAGGAATTACAGATCATGAGAAGATAAATAGTAGGCTCAGTTAGGCTTGAGATTGTTGGATCAGAGGCAAAGGGCTAGCTCCAATTGGTGATGATCCTACGAGGCTACGACAGAACAATGCTTTAGAGAGAGAGAGAGAAAGGGTTGGGGAAGAGAATAATGAAAGAAAGATGGAAACTTTGCTTTTTGAAAAGAGAAAAGTGAAGAGAAGAGAAAGGGGAATAGAGGACGGCGCCGTCCAAGGCCGTTAGTTCTTGTGCGTAAACCTTAACGTTTATGGTTGTTCCGATCGAAGGGGACACACTGACGAACAGCTTCAACTGATTATGGGATTCTGTGATGTGTTGTGTTGTGAACTATGATGCCTTATGCTTTAAACCAAGAACTCTGCAGGCGGCCCGACCGGCCAAGGGACGTAAGATTGCTGTATTAGCGTATTTAATCCTCATCAATCAACTTAAGATATATAAAATTTATAACAAAGTCCATTTTAGTCGGCTCTTTTTTCTAATCTTACGCAACATGTAATGTCGTGCATCTCCACTGTAATAGAAAATTTTCTCAATGATATATCTATATTTTCTAATAAAAATATATAATTAATCACCATAAAAAATAATTATTTACTTGTTGTTCTTAACAAAAATTGTGAAAATAATCTATTTCATTTCTCAATTCTCATTCCCTATGCAGTGTTAGGGAAAAAAATATGTTTAGTCTTATTTATTATTTTTTAACTGTTCTCCTATTTTCATAAAATTTTAACTTATTGTTTTATGTTATTAGGAGTATAATAATAAATTATTACTTAGAATAAAATACCTGCTCGTTCCTAACTTAGTCTGAGGTTATCATTTTCAGGCTTTAAACTCAAATTTACTTTTCTAAGTGATCATCATTCTTTTTTTATAGGTATATATCATCCATATTATTTAAAATAATCGTAAAATAATTTTCAAATGAAAAATTTAAAACTAATAAATATAAACAATAAAACTAATAAATTTTATATGTTTGTAAAATATAATACATATAGATTATTAAATACTCCCTTCGTTTCAAAATATATGTCGCTTCTAAGAGTTTGTTTGGTAAGAAGGAAATAATTGGGAGAGGAATAGATCCTATATCTATCTATATGAAGAAAAAATCATGTGACGAGGGGGATTCTTATTTGTACAAATGGTACTTTGAACTTGGAACGAGTATAAAGAAATTAACGATACTTCTTTATCTTTTGAGTTGTTCTGTCGGATCGGTCGCTCAAGACCTTTGGTCTCTACCCAGACCTGATGAAAAAGATGGGATCACTTCTTATGGACTCGTTGAGAATGATTCTGATCTAGTTCATGGCTAACGGAGGAAAGATTTTAATAAATTTTATTTAAAAAATAAAAAAAAATATGTGGTTAAAAGCTTTTAATTGATTAGTATTACTCTTTTATCTTATAGTTTTTTCTTATTAAAATTTTAAAACCTCACTTCTTTAATTTTTCAAATCAAGATCATTAAAATTTTCCTTTCCTTCCCCTCCTCTCCATTTTCCTCATAACAAACATAGGGTAAAAGAATGACTTGGTCCAAAATACAAGTCATTTAGAAAATAATTAATGTTTATTGTTCAATTTTATTCTTGTAATTAATACTTAAATATGACTCTTTACATTTCTCTCTCTCTTTTTTATAACCTCATTTAATATGGATAAAGTCAAAAAAAAAATTTCTATTTAAGATAAATTTGGTGAATTGATTACCATTTTTTTATTTTAACGAATTAGTTAAAATGATTTATGTTACTGGAGCATAAAATTTTTTTCATTCATTTGGCTATTTGAATTAAAGATCTTAATTAGTTGACCAGATCATATTGTAGAGTCAGTCACGGATTATAAAGAGATGTCTTGTTAGATTTTGGTACTCTTAAATACAGAAGAATGTGAAGTAGAAGACAAGGCATTTAACTATATGAACAAGAGTTGGCTGTGGCTATGACATCAATTAGATTGAAATTTCTTTTAGGTTGGAGTTGGACATAGAATGATTACTTAGCAATCATCATTACCAATAATACTATTACCAATAAAAGTTAGATAATTAATTTGGAAAAGACTAATAAATTAATTAAGTTAATTATTTGTAAAGAATACATTATAAATTTAAAAAACAAAATGGATTGAAATCTTATATTTAAAACTATTAACTAACTCTTATATTTAAAACTGAAAGTAATATTTTTTTTGTTTTAAGTTAACATTGTATACAAATTTAAAGGCCTTCCTAATGTCTGGTCTATGTACATTGTGTTGGAATCTCTCTAAACTTTATTCTTTTTTTTTTTTTTGATTGAAAAATTTTAGGAAAGGGGTCAGGCTCACCCACGATCCAAGGGCAGGGCCCCTAACACTTGATTCACTGGGGCCTGTCCCTATGGGCACGGGAGCATGACAAGCAAGCCTTTTTTTTTCTGGCCCAAAGGTAGGAATTACCCAGCTTCACTACGCTTGTAGAGATGTCTCCCCCAGCGCTGCGACTGGAGCCACAACAAAGTGACACTCCCCAGGATCGAACCCCCTCCCTTTGGTGAAAGAGTCCGACCCCTTCGCCAGCTGAATCCACGGACGAGGGGTCTAAACTTTATTCTCAATGAAATGACTTGAGTTGTCTTCTTATTAATTGATTATATTTGGATAATTAATTAATAGAATTAGATTTAACAAAAGTGACTAATTTTTCACAACATAACCAACTAATATTTAAATTCTTATTAAGAAAAATGCTTACATTTAGTATCAAATAGTGTTTCAAATAGAATTATCTTCAATAGAAGATACATATACGTAGCAAAAAAATATATATTTAAAAAATTAAAAAATTAGAAAGTTCATTAAAAGAAATTAGATTAAATTGTTACTTTGGATCACACTTTCAGAAAAGTCAACCATTTGTGCAAATTGGCTTGCTTATCAAGTGTCATGTACAACAATTTAACTTATTTTTGGGTGAACGGTTTATTCAAATATATAGACATGTAGACCGGTGAAAGCATTTTTGTTAAAAAGTCTCATTTACAAAATTTATAAAAAAAAAATACTTTTGAAAACTTTATAAACACGAGAAGGATAGACAGAGAAAAAAAGTTTAATGAACTTTTATTTAACTTAGAAAAAATAAAAAAAGTTAAAAATTATTAAATTTCAAATTATGTTTGGTAACGTAATTTTATTTGGTGTTAAGAACACTAAATTTGTAAATAATAACAATTTTTATTGAAATTTTTTATTTAGAATTTAGTCATTTTTAACTTTTTTTTTTGCCATTTTCTTTTCAACTTATTCCTTTTATATTTATATTCTTACTTTTCTTTCATAAATATATGGTGTTTTTTTTGCCGACTTCATAAATATATAGTTAAAATGAGCAAAGCAATTTTTCTTTGTAATGGCAAAGTGATTATTTAACTGGTCACATGAGAATTAATTCAGATTTCAATAATATTTAACTTTTAAATTCTAAAATGATTTTTAAAGTTTAATAAGATAAAATAATGAACATGATTTACAAAAATTAAGTAAATTAAGAATCAACCATCAACAATTGAATAAAAACGAAAATAAGCAGAGTTAAATTTATAATTTCGGAAAAAATGGATTTAGGGGAGAAGGAAAAAAAAAAAAAAAAAAAAGGGAAGCACAAACCACTCTGCAGAGGACGCTGCATCGCCAAGGATCTATCTTCGGCTTCTTCCTCATCGGCCCCTCCTCAAGCAACCAGCAAGGGAGAGAGCCTTCACTTTCCATCCCATAGTTTGAATCTCTATGAAACCTTAACAACAATGGTGGGACCCAAAAGACATTTCCTGCCTCTCGTTCTCATCTCTCTTACTGCTTTCTTCTTTTACTCCTACTACCACTCCTCTCTCCCACCTTCAACCTCTGAGTTTAACCCTACTTTCACTGTCTCTAATCCCATCCACACTCAAAACTACAAGCCCAGTTTAACCAATTTTTCTTTCATCGTCAAAGTTCTTGCCTTTAACCGCCTCGATTCAGTCTCTCGGTGCCTCCAGTCCTTGGCCAATGCCGATTACCTTGGTGATCGTGTCAACCTCCATGTGTACATCGACCATTTCACCCACCAAAATGGGTCGTCTACTACAGTGGATCAAAAATTAAACGAATCGCGTAGGATTTTGGAATTTGTTGATGGATTTGATTGGAAATTCGGTGATAAGCTCGTGCATTATCGAACGACCAATGTGGGTTTGCAAGCGCAGTGGTTGGAGGCGTGGTGGCCAAGTTCTGATAACGAGTTTGCTTTTATTGTTGAAGATGATTTGGAGATTTCGCCGCTTTATTATGAGTTCATTAAGAGCTTGATTGTGAATTTCTACTACAATGCTTCGAATTATAGTCCATCAATATATGGAGCTTCACTGCAGCGACCAAGGTTTGTTCCAGGTACTGTCATCTCATATTTTTCACCTTTAGAAATTAGAAAAGCTTCACTTGTTTTGTTGAAAGTGATTGAAGTTAAATATTCCATAAATATGTCAGCTTCTTGGATGATATTGTCTGTGTTAGAAGTTGAGAGAATTCGGATAGAAATGACTTTATATATTCTCTTTGAAGTGAGCAATCTGATCTGTGCTAACTAATTCAATTCCTTATTCTAGCCGTTTTTTTTTTTTTTTTTTGATAGTATCCTTATTCTAGCCGTTAGTCATGGTCAAACCTGTTAATTATACGTTGGGGGGGGGGGGTAATTAGATGGGAGCGCATGCAGTGTATTGTGTTTCCTCAAGCAAGCTTGGTATGGATCTTTAGTCAGAATATCAATACAAGTTATTCTCATAGCATAAAAAGTTAAAACATGGTATCATGAGCATATGATGTTTTGCTGAAAGGGAACTCCTCTGGTTGCGTGTGACTATTTCCTTCACGATATATTGTGGATTTGGGGCTTAGCCGTTGTATAGATGTAGACGACTGAGAAGCGAAAAGAAGTTCCACCTACTTGCACCTTGTGTTATTTTAGAATTGGTTATGGTTATTACAAACTAGGGAATGGTCAAACTGTTTGGCAAGAATGCTGTGTGACTTTCCTCGTTTTCACTACGTTATTCTTTCCCTTGGTAATTTTCTTCTGTTGGTTTATGATAAACTACTTGGGACATATCATGTTGGTTAGAAATAAGACCATATATTCGCTCCAGGACTATTTGTGGACTACGGTCCTTGATGATTGCTAAACCTTTCATAACTTCTATTTATTGATGTTTTACTAATAACCATTGGTTTCCAACTCAGGTAAACATGGAAACAAATTGCAATTGGATGATAGGACAAGGCTTTTCTTGTATCAATTGGTTGGCACATGGGGTCAAATTCTCTTTCCAAAGCCATGGAAAGAGTTTAGGTTGTGGTATGACAAGAACAAGTCAAAGGACATAAGGCCATTTCTTGAGGGGATGGTAATCATAAGTCTTCACCTTTTTTAAAAATTCTTTCCTCTCTTTCATCCCATTACTAGTTTTCGTTGGCCACCTAACTTCGTTATGTCAGCCAGCAGTTTGTACCTAAGTTCAGTTCTAAAACCTTGTGCAGGTGACTACAGGGTGGTACAAAAAAATGGGAGAGAGAATATGGACTCCTTGGTTCATCAAATTTATTCAATCTCGTGGTTACTTCAATATTTACACAAATTTTTTGCATGAGAGGGCTTTGAGTGTTTCTCACAGAGATGCCGGAGTCAACTATGGGAAAACTGCTGGACCTGACTCTCAATTACTAGACGACAGATCTCTTGATTTCAATATTTTGGAAATGCACCCATTGAGTAGCTTAAAATGGTTTGATTTTTGCTTCAGAGAGGTAATCCCTGCAAGGGTTGTCACGAACATGGATGAACTTGGACTTCTGCTTCCCTCTTTGAACAAGCAGGACAGTGTCTTTTTGGTGAACCTTTTTGAGGTATCAGGTTCTGTAGCTAGAAATTTACTGTGTCATTTTGAAAGTTTAAATATCAGGAATTATATACTTTTGGGCCCTGAGTCTGACTCCTTATTTGATCTAGCAAGGAGGGGACATCCTGTGATTAATGGGGACCAATTTATCAAAAGTGTTGGATTGTATAAGCTTAGTTCTCTAGGTTCACGGTTTGAGGCCATCAAGAGCATTTTGGCAAAGGCTTATGTAATTAGAAAGTGTTTGGAAAATGGGTATAACTTGTGGGTGGTTGATGGGAACGTGCTTTTTCTCAGTGCTGATATTTTTTCAGAGTCCAAGGATCCCAATGATGATTTATTTCTTGCACCAAGCTTGGAACTCTTATATGCCAGAAGCTCAACTACTGCTAAGAAAATATGGGACAATAACTTGGTATCGAAAGTTGCCTCCATGGCAGAGGATATGGCAAGAAAAAGTTCGCTTTCCCATGGTGACCTAAGCTTTGTGCATGTTATAGCAAACATTTTGGAACAAAATGGTGTGAAGTTTAGAAAACTTGATGAGACTACCTATGGCATGAAGATTGGATCTGCTAATGTTAATAAATCTTCTTTAGGGGATAAAAATAAAAAGTTGGTGTACTGGTCAGCAGAAATGGGACTGGAATCAATTCAGAAATGGCTTGAGGAGTTGAATTTGTGGGTTGTGGACCAAGAATCCTCATGCACTGCTGTGGTCTGTCACAAGTCATAGCATTTAGGGTCAGCTAGAAGTAGCTATAATTTTTTTTCTTTTTTGAAATTAATTCGTATTTTTCTTCTTTTATTTTAATTTTGCTTATATATGTTTCCACTTAGTGTACTATCATCTGCAACAAAGCTAAAAATTTCCCCCTGTATGAATCTTGGGCAACATGGGCAAGATGAAGCTAGATGGCCCGAAAAAGCAGCTTGCAAAGATTATAATGAAGGAATACTTTTGACCATCTTCCTTTGTAAGTACTAAAGTTGAATAGTATTATTTTTCTTTCTCGGTAATAAGAGTTAGATGCATGTTAGTTGAGTTGCTGAACCTCTCAAACCTTGCCTTGCCAAACATCAATGCCTCATTCTAGACCGCAAATTGTTTGTTCACCAACTGTATCTCCTCATATTATCCATGCCTGATTAAGCGTGCGACTGATAGAAGTATTTTCAGTGTCCGCACTAACAAGATCTTTACTGGTCGTGAAGCTCAGGAATATCTTGCAAAGGATAGTCAATCGAAGAGAGAATAATCTTTCAACAGCATGATACTTCCTAATACTACTTCCGCTAAATAGATTAAAAAAATTAGTTAAGTAAATTATTTATAATAAATAGATTTTTTTCTTTTCTAGAACATTCTTATTGATCATGTGTATTAGTTAAAATTAATTTTTAACACATGCAACTAATACGAGAACTATCTTAGGGGAAAAAAATATCAATAGGAGAAACAAAATAAATATGATCTTATATTCAGAAATAAATTGAATATTAAATTAGCTCTTATATCAAAGATAATATAAAGATTTGAGGAAAGTATATAAAACAGGTGAATCTTGCTGTTTTTCTTTCGTATGATCCTCCAGCTCAAGTATATTCGGAAAATATCAAAGCGGACAAATCGTTCTCATACTCAAAATAGCCTAAGAATTAGATTAGAAGATGGGTTTTCAACGCAGTGTTGAGAGAAGCATAACCTAGTTAACTGCATTTAGGAAAACGGGAGTTCTTCTGGAGTCGTGTGCCACAAGGGAGGAGGGATAGAAGATCTAGTCAGAAGAGATAAGAAAGGAAGGAAAGCGGGTGAGAGAGAGGTGAAATTCATATAGATGATATTTGTAAGCAGTTTTTTTTCTTAAAAGAAAGAAAGAAGACCATATTTTTCTTCCTTTGCCTCATGGATAATCCTCCTTTTCAAAGTACAAAACTGCAAA